CACGAGAGACTCAACTGAATCTCTCTTTTATGATACTCTACAACTGAATGTGCTGTACACAGGCCGCCCCATGTTTCAGTTGGCACGATATTCGAGATATCACAGTATTTCATAAAGGAAACTACTCACAAAGTTGCTAAAACCTCTTTAACAGCCCACGAAACGAAAGATTCAGTTGAGTCTCTCGTGAAAACCAAATTGAGTTGCAAATGAGTAAGTGTATTTCTCAACAAAGTCTTTTTAGTATGACCCGATAAGTGGGAAAGTTGATGGGCATTTGGAAAATTCAGGTTGAGCTCGGCAGTACAGTCTGACAGTCGCCTGAGCTAATGGCTTTGGGCCATCGTTTCATAATTCTGATAAATCACTTTATTTAGCACATCGTTACGCTTGTACCGAACGAACCACAGAATACCTTGAACTTCGCCCAAGGCGGTAAGCGGGGCAGAGAAAGCCAGTGGAAAACAGGCGGGGCGTTTCGGTCTGGCGTCTAATCGAGTGAGTATTCCCCATCGAAGTGCAAACTACGGCCGTGGCTTCGAAGAATTCCCGCTGTTTCTGTCGAGGGAACAATGTTAACAGGAGACTCTATTGCTTTCAGATGAATCCCTTGTTCATGATAGTCCGCTTCAATGAATATGCTGCACCAGGTCGCATCTTGTTCCAGGTGGTACGATATTCGAGGCGACCAATTAGTGACGATCATGAAAGAAGGATTCACTTGGGTTCTGTCAAAACCATATCGATATGAAGATGAGTGCATTTGTTGGAATCTGTCCAATTTGAGTTCAAGTAGTACATCAATTCAACGGAAAGTTGGGCACTGTGCCCACCTGATGAACTCCGAGGGGGGAAAAACCGGCCCCGGGCTGTCGAAAGGTTTCCAGCAAATTTATGGGTAGTGTATTGCTGGCAGACAAAAATGTTTAACATCACTGACAATACTTTGATATTATAACACTGTTTCCAACCAAAAGGCGAGACGCTTTTCGTCCCTTATACGTACTTAAGGACGAGTCCGGAACACAGGTCAGTAAAGATCCGTTTGAGGTTCCCGTGAACACCGGTTTGATTTGTCAATGCGTGAATAACTCCTAGGTGATGGTCCCCAAGAAGGATCAAAGCGGTCGCGTCGGTGTCAAAAAGTTTTCAACAGATTTATAAGTAGTATGTTACTTCTCGACAATGTACTGCTATATCTCAAATGTCGTACCAACTACAACATCCGGCAGCCTTTGTGCAACACATTCATTTGAAGTCAAATATCACAAACGAGAGATTCAGGGCGATTTAGTTGAAACCGCCGTGAACACCAAATTAGTGTGGAAACGGGTGTATTTTGTCCGTGTGTAGAAAATAACGTTGACGCGAACTCGGGGGCTATCTGATGAGTCCAAAGAAGGGCGAGATTGGTCCTGGGCTGCCAAAGAGTTTTCAGCAACCTTGTTAGTATTTCCTCCAATCTTAACGTATGGTTCTTACCAGTACTAGACAGGTGCTATAAGGACAGTGCGAGTTGCTACACTTCAAAGTATTTCCAACACATCCTGAAAAAGTTTTCCTTTCCAGCAAACGTGTTTATTTGGTCTTTACCTCCCGGACGTGGTCACTCTGCCGTTTGTGATGTGTCCTAAGCAGCTAGGGGTTGCTGCTTAATCACCCACCTCTTGTGGTATTAAGTTCAGGTCCTTCTGCCCATCTCAGGGCTCTGAATAAAACCGGTTGCCACGACTTTGGGGTTTTCTGTCAAAAACTCACGTTTAGTTGTATGCAAGTGGACTAAGCGCTCGGAAATTAGTAATCCGAGTTCCACATTGCGTGGAGTTCTCCACGTTCAAATTGACCAACTAAGCGTTCGGAAATTAGTAATCCGCGTTCCACATCGCGTGGAGTTCTCCACGTTCAAATTGACTGGTTGCATTGCACCATATGTTTCCACCTGTTTGAACTACGCGAGACAGCCGGTGTGGCGCAACTGTTGCCGTTCCAACTAAAGCCAACAATGGATAACATGGCTGCCTTGCAAGTGGAAACCTACAGCCGGTCAGAATGACTGATGGAACGCTGGAATCGATAAGGACTGATCAATGCGTAAGCGAATATTTAAAAATCAGTGCAGTAAAACAAACGATACATCAAAGAGACGCGCCTAAATCAAACTAGGACGTGGAATGAGAACAGAATGTTCTAGATGAACACGTTCCGTCGCTTTGTAATCTGCTTTGTTGCTTATGGAAGAATAGACACCTAGTACCTTTTTACGACGGAAACACCGTAATTCATTAATTAGTTTCAGGCACACGTAATGGATTTACCTGTTCTTGCGGGTTAGGTCATGTTTATCCCCTAAAAACTTGGCGGGTTACGCATTTTTTTTTATTGTCGCCTAACACACAAAATTCATCATTCCAAAGTTAACCCATTTCAATTTGTGAGCCAGTAGACTGATACACTACTGACAGTGAGCAAACTATCGAAGGGGCCAATTGTTGAAAACCTTAGTCACGGGTGTCTCTGAATGAGAGCGGATGAGTCGGCGATTAGACAAACGGTCACCTGACTAGATGCGGCTGTCGAATGCTTCGTGCGGCTAAGGTTCCCTAGAATTAAGCGCGCCTAGCTGATAAGCCCCTACAGCTGTTTCACCATCGTCAGTGCGCATCTCATGATCCCGCGATAGACTGGCTAGAAGTTGGAAAACTTAACAGTTCAGCGGCTAAGACTAAGGTGAGATGCTACTCAAATCAGGCAAGTAAACTTATTCTTTATACTTTGGCACGACAAACGTATACGTGCGTATAAATAGGCTAGGCAGACAGGAAATTACTGCGTTTTGTATTCTCCCTTAGAGATGGGTTCAATGAGAAACTGGTGTGGATGAACACAGCCTAATTAAAATGAAATCATCCGGGAGGAAAAAAAGTCTGGCCTTCGAGGGAGAATGATCTAGAAGGCGAATTGAAACTACCCCCTCAGGGTCATTTTAGCTCTAGTCCGAAACGAATCTTTCGACGTTTTTCTCCTACAGACATTCGAGCAAATTACTAGACTGGGATTTCAGCGCCAAACGAATGGTACCCAGCATGAGATAATTGGAATAAATTAGAAGCTTCGGCTGTTTTTGTAAGCATTTTTATGTATAGTACGTGAGTAACTTAAATGCTAGTCCTTGGAGAGAAAAAATGATCTGAACAGTTAAACATACCGGTGACGTACAAGAGAAGCAGAAACGCCATCAGTGTTACACATTAAATTTACTGAGCGTTTTATTGACTCTGGATCTTTTTTTTACAAAACTCAATGACGTAGTATGATGGAGAACATCATACAAGAGAGATTCAGCTGGGTTCCGAGTGAGTCTGTGGTGTAAACCAAATTAGATGAGTGTTTTACTCGTGGATTGTGCTTCTAATTGTCCTACTTAAGACTCCGCCATTCTCTAAAACTATCTTTCAGGACAATCTCAAGGAATAGGGCATCGCAGATATGAATCATGTGCAAGTATCTAACACGAGTAAATTAGCCTGGATCCTTGTCGCGTGCACATCACATGACGTTGACCGGTCNTCTGGTTTAGCTGAATGAGGTCACGTGATTCATTCCTGCTGAGGTTTAAATGTTGAGCAGAGTAGCGCCTGGGAATGACAAAAACAAACTCAAGCACCATGGCTGACTTGATACAGTTGCCGGTATAACGTAGAATTCAAACGGTGTCCCGATGGAACCTTGGCAACTGGTTTTGCTGACTTGTTCCGTGGATCGTCAACCCACTGTGGACAACTCCGGTTAACTCGGTTTATTTTTTTATTACTCAATTTTAATGTGTTTCATTTTGCTTTTTTCTCACTTTTTGGAAGCACATACTTCGGCTGCATTCAACAGTGCCCTTCCTTGTCAGTCTACTTGGTTCCTCATTCGCTGGTACCCAAGCGGAGGCTGATTAGCCTGGTCTTGATCTCGGACGGTGATCCTGTGATTTTTTCTGAATGATGACCAGCTCGAACGGCTCACTTTAAGCGCTTCAGCCTACAAAGAAAAAAATATGCGTCCTCCTGTACAGACAAAACATACTACTCATAAGGCGACTGAAAAGTATTCAGCGACAAGCTTGTGAGGAGTGAACTGCGTTCATGAAAGGTGTTGCGATATCCCGAATATGGCAGTTCCAAATGAAACATGGGGCGGCCTGGTGCAGCACATTCAATTGCTTAGGAACATCATAAATGAGAGTCTGTCATGAAAACGAATATGATATACAGATGCGCGTATAAGTAAAAAACAAAGTGGTGTTGATGTCATATATGACATTTACAATGATGTATTCGTTCGACCAAACATCCAAATAGAACCAGGTCATCATGGGTGTGATTTATACATAATTCGTCTGGTCGATCACATGAATAAGACAGAGGTGACCAATCAAAAACCCCAAACTGATTTATCTCCCACTGGTACGCAAAATTTAAGAGTCTGGTTTATGTGATCACAGATTGTTGATTTTCCTGACACCTTTATGCTTGATATTTTAGATGAAAAAAGTCTGGTACTGTTCGCTGAAAGAAGAACAACAAACGCAAGTGGAAACCCACTCGAATCGTGTAGAAATGTTGGAAAGCGTATGTTTTTGCAAGGGCATAAAAACTCTAGGTGTCTGTACAAGAGGATTGGTTCACTTCAAATCAATCAATATTTTCTGTGAGTCGATGAGTCGGATGAGTCATTCGTGAACATCGATTGAGTGAAGACTGGTTTACCGGTATACGCAATTCCTTTAATTTTGGTGCAGTTCTAAAGGTTTCAACCTCCACATGTTCGAAGTGAACAAGTCAGGGAACCCGACAGTGCTGCTGTTTTTGCGATTGTGAACCTGAAAATTTTAAATTATGATCATTGACGGGCAGGCAAATAATTATTTAGCACACTCTTGATTCAGGCAACACGCTTCACAGAAAACTGGAAACTGTCGTGAAACAAAAAAAGTAAATAAAGGGGACCCGAATTCAGCGTCAGCGATCCTACTGCTTCGTGAAATCAAATGCTTGACAGTAGATTGTTTAAACTCTCCTCTGTACCCGCGTATTCGGGGTAGTTTGAAGGCAACTCAGGGTTATCACGTGAGTTATAAACAAGGTTGGCGAAGAAACTACTCACAAGTTTGCTGAAAACTCTTCGACAGCCTACGATCGGTTTCTCCCTTCTTGGGGTGAATATCATAAATGAGAGATTTAGTTGAGTCTCTCGTGAAAACCAAATTGAGTTGAAAATGAGTGTATTCTTGAAAAGGTTGGCGAGGCTTTTACAACGAATGCCCCGCTAATCCCACAATCAAATTCTTCCCGGACCACTAGTTCCCATTTCTTTATTTACTGTCTTCTTGAAGAACACTTTTGACCAAACTTCTGTAAACGTCAGTCATGTTATCCTGTTGGACAGCAATACCTCACAAGAAGTAGTTGCCTGAAAATGGCCTATATTTCCTCGTTCACCATTATAAATTCGGCTTTAATCAGCTATCATACCAGCTTACAAAGTTTTCAGGCTTTCAAACCATCTAAAAAAGTGAATGATTGCGCAAAAGTTTCCCATTGTCTAGACGTAGCACACTACCCATGAAGCTTCCAAAATTCTTCGCATTACCATTGTCATCCTCGCCATCATCATCTAACTCTTGATCTAGATGCCTTCTAGATGCCTTCGCGCATTTACCCCAGCGATAATGAGGTGTCTGAAAGATTCATTTAACTACTAACGAAAATTAATCAGTAACACCAAACGTAAACGGAAGGTAACCGATATTTACAGTAGTTGCCTTCTTTCAGTTTTTTGTGCCCATGGGTCAAGGAATCAATGCTGGATATCAACCACGTAGCGAGTCAAAGTTAGAAGCTCGTCATGTCATCTGAGTTTGACAGTTCTTTTTGCAACCCAAGCACTCTTTACCGATGATCCGTTTTGTGGACAGTGTCCTCGTGTCTTGTCACTGTGGTACATGACAACGAGAAGCACACAATCAAATCAGACGCCAATTAATTGGTACAGTTTTGGTGTGTTTTCTACAGCTTTTGACCTGTCCATCCTGTTAGGAGTTAATTAAAGTTTGGTTGAATTCAGTCAGAAAAAAGACGAGACTGCGTTTTGCCAAATAAGAAGTGGCTGCGAAAAACAACAGGTGGTGATTACAAATTTGGAAGATGTAGAAGAAAGGTTAGCTAAATGTGAGACGCATATTCTACTTGAGCACATCCTTCTTCCAAATGCCCTCATTTGTACGCCAGTTTGGTTTTAACGGAAGATTCAAGTGGATCCAATTGAATTTCTCGTTTATAATAAGCTTTCAGTAAGATTTTGAGTAGTATGTCCTATCTAGACCATATATTGGGATTTTGGGATATCGTGCCAACTGACAAATAAGGCGGCCCTTGTGCATCGCATTCGGTTGAAGTGGGAAACCGTAAAAGAGAGATCCAAATATTTTTTCCCGAAGGAAACTACTCACAAGATTGCTGAATACTCTTCGACTGCCTACGACCGGTTTCGTCCTTCCACTTCGGGCTCATCATGTAGGTGCAGTCCTCGAGTTTCCATCAACCTTATGTTCTACTTGAACCCAAATTGCACTGTTTTTGAGAAATACACTCATTTGCAAATCACTTTGGTTTTTCACGAGAGACTCAACTGAATCTCTCGTCTATGGTCCAACTAGATTCATTTGAATCTCGCATAAAGACCAGAGTATTGTGCAAATCAGAATATCTTTGAGTTCCGTCCAAGGAGAACATAAAACTGGAGGAAACTGTGGGACTGCGTCTATACGTTGAGCCTGAAGTGGGACGAAACCGGCCTTGGGCCTTCAAAGGGTTTTCAGCAACCTTATGCGTAGTGTATCTAGACTAATGGACTTTGGTTACATTCTTGGTTTCACCTTTACACAAAACGCTCAGCAAACTGATTCTCGCGTGCAAACCTTTCAATACTCTTTGTTTTTCCCCCTAACTAAGTGCCGCATGTCGGGTATTTCGGCCTTCTATTCACAGGATGTAAAATTATTCCAAGTATACCGTTAATAGCACCTCACTTTGCATGTGACTGTATACCTCAGCATCTCATGCTTGTTCTAAGGAACTTCAAATTTCTCGATCAATAAAGTCGCTAACATGTCATTTGATTCGGATTTACTACCCTGCTTGGCATCATTTATTGCCGCTTCGGTGATTTTACTCTTAATTAAGCAAGCAAAAGTGATTTTATTTACATCAGTTTCGATAGAAACCCAACCAATACAGCACGTGATCATTTGAACTTGAAGATCAATTTTTTTAGCTCTGTACCATCAATTTTATGTTCAACTTCAGTTCATGGATAGGTTGGGCAAATGATCAAATGGGAATTCGCCCAAGTGACATTTTCTTGGACATATGCTTTTTATTCAGTGTCTTCTGAAAGCAAAAAAAACGAGAAAAGTACAGAAATAACCTTGAACCTTGTTCAGTTGATTTGCATCTGATGGGTGATGTTCGGATGATACTACTTTCTGCCTAAATGCCAGCTACTCATGGTACTGATCAACCGCTATTGGCCGAACAGTTCAGAGTTCAAACACATTGTCGTAAGGTTGCGAGTTCGAATCGCTCCAGAGGTTCGTGATCAGTTTGAGAAAAAAACAGCAAGTGATTTGCGATAGTCTACGCGGTCTTCACAGAACAAGACTTCAGAACGAAGGGGACAACTGTTATACTACTCTATTTTGATTAGTACTTTGATGAACACGCACAGCAGCGTATCTCTTCGACCGACGGTGGCAACAAGAACTGAGGGAAAGTTCGAAAATATACTAACTAGTGGATGATTCACACAACTGCGCACTGACAATGTCTTCTCAACTGGGGACAAAACGTTTACAAGCTTATGGCCAAGCTCGGAGAACCGATCAGTGGGCATCCGATCAAACAACAGCGTCTCCCAAACAAAATTTAAACCTGCTGATAGGCTGTTCAGTGTGTACATGTAAGCCAGACCAGTAGGCCTTCTCAAGCACACTGCTTGGTCGTTGATATGTTGGAGGTAGTTGGATCCGTTTCCGAAATCCGGGCCCCATTTTTACTAGGATCTGACTCTTGGTTCGTTAAAAAGATCTCATCCAAATAAGCCCAAACGTCGAACTGAAATTGGACAACATAATTGCTATTGAAAAGAATGTTGGTAGTTCAGGCTGTAATGATGGCCGTCGGTTTGTTCACTGAACTCAGCGATGGCGCTCCAAAAGTTTAACCACCCAGTTTAAATCACGCAGGTCGACCTTGACCGGTCAATGATCGCCAAGATCAACAGCCACTTGATCGACAACCAACGATCGATAATTGTTTCGGTGGCCATTCCAATGGGCATTTGGGTTGATCTGTCTTCGGATTTGTGAGTGACCTTCCCGGTCCTGTTTCCGTAACTTTTCGTTTACCTCCACATTGGGTCCCGTTGTTTGCTGAACTTTCCTCAGTGGCAACGTTCCAAGTGACAAACCGATTGGTTGAAGAACCCCCGGTCCTGCCTCCGTAACCTTTCGTTTACCTCCACATTGGGTCCAATTTTTTGCCGAACTGTCCTCATTAGCAACGCTCCAAGTGACAAACCGATTGGTTGAAGAACATCACTTGACCGTATGGTTTGTACTAGAGGCGTGGCTGCTTTGTTATCAGTAGCAGTGACACATGAGTATAGAGACAAAAAATATCCCCTCATAGTACCCCTCCTCCAGCCTTGCTGAAAATCCTGAGATATTCCGCCCCCTCATTTGATTGACCGAGGGTTACTTCTTCCATCAGTTCCCGTACACGAAGGTGGGACGGCGGTTTCCTCTGATTCTGTTCAATAACACCGGTGTTTTATTCATGTCTTTTCAAGCCTTCAAGAAGTTCAGTCAGCAAACTTGCAAATTTGCTTGATTTTGACTATTTCGCTCCCCCATTTCCTGCCTACTCGATATTGACTGATTTGAGACGGTTTTATCTGATTTACAGATTGCCACTCCCAGATTAAGCTGGGTTGTTCTTCTCCACAACCCCAAAAAAGAAGTTATCTTGTCACCCTGTTGTCACGCCTCGTATAAAAGACCTTTCAACTGTGCCCTTACTCGGACGGCTTGAAATACCACTGTCATTCCACGTTAATTTTCTACCTGTCAGGCTGAAACGGTCGGACGAAACTTAAGAAGACTCGTGTTCTATGTGAAAACGATGTGAGTTTAGTTGTTCTCATAACCATTTACGTAAATTTTCGTGCGGCTGGCGTTGTTCGTTTTTCCCCTGGACTTTTGTCCGATAAAATGAAACCTGACACTCATTTCCCGAGAGATCCTCAGTTCGATTTTCATTCGTTATCCGCCTAAATATGCTCTTTTCTACCCGTTTACAGGTTTGCTGACGCACAATTATTTATCAACCTCTCCCTTGAAATGTTTCATTGATGGTCTTACCAGCAATGCATTCACGTAGTTACCTGCGGATAAACTCAGATATCCCATCTTTGGATCGTTAACTTACTAACACCGGGACCGTCAATACCCAGTTTCAAACGGTCTGTTCCTCTTATACGCCATTCTCAGCGATTATTTGGTTCGTAAATCACTTTTTTTAAAAGAAAAATCCCGCCAGCGAGACAGGAAGTTGTGGATCCTATCCATCTACGTATCCATGTGCTGGACTGCCTTGCAATTGGACAACATAATTGCTATTGAAAAGAATGTTGGTAGTTCAGGCTGTAATGATGGCCGTTGGTTTGTTCACTGAACTCAGCGATGGCGCTCCAAAAGTTTAACCACCCAGTTTAAATCATGCAGGTCGACCTTGACCGATCAATGGTCGCGAAGATCAACAGCCACTTGATCGACAACCAACGATCGATAATTGTTTCGGTGGCCATTCCAATGGGCATTTGGGTTGATCTGTCTTCGGATTTGTGAGTGACCTTCCCGGTCCTGTTTCCGTAACTTTTCGTTTACCTCCACATTGGGTCCCGTTGTTTGCTGAACTTTCCTCAGTGGCAACGTTCCAAGTGACAAACCGATTGGTTGAAGAACATCACTTGACCGTATGGTTTGTACTAGAGGCGTGGCTGCTTTGTTATCAGTAGCAGTGACACATGAGTATAGAGACAAAAAATATCCCCTCATAGTACCCCTCCTCCAGCCTTGCTGAAAATCCTGAGATATTCCGCCCCCTCATTTGATTGACCGAGGGTTACTTCTTCCATCAGTTCCCGTACACGAAGGTGGGACGGCGGTTTCCTCTGATTCTGTTCAATAACACCGGTGTTTTATTCATGTCTTTTCAAGCCTTCAAGAAGTTCAGTCAGCAAACTTGCAAATTTGCTTGATTTTGACTATTTCGCTCCCCCATTTCCTGCCTACTCGATATTGACTGATTTGAGACGGTTTTATCTGATTTACAGATTGCCACTCCCAGATTAAGCTGGGTTGTTCTTCTCCACAACCCCAAAAAAGAAGTTATCTTGTCACCCTGTTGTCACGCCTCGTATAAAAGACCTTTCAACTGTGCCCTTACTCGGACGGCTTGAAATACCACTGTCATTCCACGTTAATTTTCTACCTGTCAGGCTGAAACGGTCGGACGAAACTTAAGAAGACTCGTGTTCTATGTGAAAACGATGTGAGTTTAGTTGTTCTCATAACCATTTACGTAAATTTTCGTGCGGCTGGCGTTGTTCGTTTTTCCCCTGGACTTTTGTCCGATAAAATGAAACCTGACACTCATTTCCCGAGAGATCCTCAGTTCGATTTTCATTCGTTATCCGCCTAAATATGCTCTTTTCTACCCGTTTACAGGTTTGCTGACGCACAATTATTTATCAACCTCTCCCTTGAAATGTTTCATTGATGGTCTTACCAGCAATGCATTCACGTAGTTACCTGCGGATAAACTCAGATATCCCATCTTTGGATCGTTAACTTACTAACACCGGGACCGTCAATACCCAGTTTCAAACGGTTTGTTCCTCTTATACGCCATTCTTAGCGATTATTTGGTTCGTAAATCACTTTTTTTTAAAGAAAAATCCCGCCAGCGAGACAGGAAGTTGTGGATCCTATCCATCTACGTATCCATGTGCTGGACTGCCTTGCCTTGGCTTGTAAGCACTCACCCGCGGCTAAAGCTGGTGTTGAGCAATGCGTCAGCATGCGTATTTCACCAAACGACACTCTTTCTGCATCAATATGGGTTCAAAATAATTGATTTCTAACCCTACCGAATGGCGAGAGTATAAGTGATTTATTCATGCTTCACAGTGATGACTACTCACCTTCTGACCTAAGTAGTTTGAAAGCGAGGACGCCTGGTCTGTCGTGAACCAATAAGGACAGGGGAGGGGCTTCTGCTCGGGGGATCGTGTGAAATCACCGGCGTGCACGTTATTCCAAATAAGCGAAACACCCCAGATACGTTTGAACATGAAGAGGGATCGTAATGCACTACTGATAAGGTTGCTGAAAACTCAGCGACGGCCCACGACCTGTTTCGCCATTCTTGGGGCGCATCAGATAAGTACAATCCCCGACTTACTCTTATGTTCTACTTGAACGCCAGTTCCACGAAATCTGATAGGTACCCTCATTTGCACACTAACTTGGTTTTCACTTAGGTCTCAACTGAATCCTTCGTTTATGGTGTTCCTCTTCAACTGAATGTGCTCTGCGCCAAGCAGCCTCGTGTCCCAGTTCGTGCGATACACCAATTGTAGAATTATTGTTATTCCACCTGATAACTGGACAGCAGTTATCGTAAAAGCAGTAGGATGCAGCCAGGTGTGTTTAAGAATTATGAATGTTCCAATCGAACAGACTTATCAAACTGCCCATTGAAGACGACAGTTCCAAACAAGAGGAAGTCCTCGACAGAAGGCCTTTCAAAACCAAAGACATTAATTCTTCAGCGACAAAGGTTGTGAGCAAGAGGAGGAAATGTCTAGACGTTTTCAACATACGATGGGCTGAAGGAATTTGCCGAAATCGATCGCATATCGGCTGCTTCAATCGCCTGTCACGTGATTTGCCGTTGAAATTAACATCACGATAATAGCTAACAATGATTGTCAGCTTTTCTTGTGGTTGCAACCATAAGCAGGGAGAGGGCTATTCCCGTTTGGTCACAAAGACCAAGAGTAAATTTTGAATTTCCAATTATCTCGTATGTGCCCGTCCATAGTCCACATGTAATGACACTTTGTGAGGTTGGACCGTTCGAAAAGCTGCGCTTTAGCCAACCGAGATTTCACCCAGTCTTTGAGGCCAGTCTATGCTGAAAAGTTGAAAAGTATCGCACAACCGTTTCATTCTTATTGGAAGTCATCTTACGAAATTCCAGAGAGTTTTCAACCCCCAGCTTCTACACTAAAACGTTCGGTCAGGTCTCATCTAGACAGGATATGCCACCGCAAGGTCATGCCAATGAGCGCCAAGTGTTCGAACGTCGCCTTTCTGTTCATCCGTATTTTTAGTCTTCATGATTGATATCCTGTTAGATGTATCATACTACTCATAGTGTGGCTGAAAACGCTTCGAAGATTGTAGTGCTCACAAAACGCTCATAAGTTATGAATGATAACAACAATAGTAATAAAAATACGACAAGGAGCACTCCTATCCGGAAAGGGCAGCTAAACAAAGTCTTCAGTCCTAAAATCGAATCATTGACGGAGAGTAGAACGCTTACAACCAGCTAGCAGTTCCAGATAATCAGTGACGAGAGATTCGTTCCCCTGTCGTTGGGGAAATTCGGCCTTTGGGAGTAAATCAAGACGATTCCAACAGTTAAACGATTCAAATCCTTCGTGAACACTGTAACTGTTTCACAATGGAAATAAACAATAGCAAATTAATGAGGCACACGGATGCGACTGTCACACTCCGACCAATCAGACAGCCTCTTCAAGTTTGACCACATTTCGGTGGGTATCTCTAGTCCTTTGTGATTCGCAGTAAAATGCTCCCGATGAAGATCAAAGACAGTGCTGAAAATGCTGAGATGTGAAAGCTCCGTTCCTAACATTGCGTTTTTCTCCAAAAATCAACCCTGAAAAATACAGTACAACGCGCACAATGCACAATTCAACGTAACTAGTAGTGAATACCCATGTTTTTAGACCGAGGTAGAAGTCAACTGTTTTTCTCTCATGGTTGGAAGAAAAGTTGAATGATATCGGTGATGATCAACTGACCTGATTCCCTATTGGAACCGTCAAGGTGGTCTGATGGACACTCTTGGAAAGTAGACAGCTGGGGTTTGTTGGCCTTTTGATCAGTGAACCAAAAATCAGCGTAAACCTTTTGCAGGAATCATCGAGAAAACCATTAGGACAGCTTCATGACAGACAATGCATTCTGATACAATCAGTAAGTTGGATAAGAACGAAGAACGAGTGTGTGAGAAAACCGCGCGATTTGGTACCTTGAGGGTACAAGAAATTGATCGAATCCAAGATAAGACATATCCAAGTCTATTAGGAACCAAGATGTTCGAACGACAGAGGACCATTATTTGCTTGAAGAGGCACATCAAACCGTTTTTGCACCCGGTTGACCTACCACTGATTCCACAGCTTCAACCCACTCATCTACTCATGATGAAAAAAAAGACAAACATTGCCAGAAGTTTGCAATTCTTAGACGTAATGCACTACTCATAAGGTTGCTAAAAATTCGTCAACAAATTTTGTCGCTAATTTTCAATTTTCAATTTTGTTTGTTTCAATACTACAGCATTCAGTTCACTTGCAATTCGAAATGTGAAATTGTCTTTTGTTTTTCTCCACGAAGACCCGTAAAATGCTAGGTCGAAAGCAGATTTTGATGACATGTTTTGGATTTTCCGATCCTGGTCACCCTCTTCGCACGAAACCACGCTTGGACTCTGAAGGGTTTCAAACTGGTAGCGCTATAGAGCACGACGAGATAATGTCGGGTACCGGAAGAGATAATTCAACCATCTTGTTCGGGTTTGCTACCATTTTATGGTTAAGAATCCGGTTGATGCGATGAGATTCAATGGAGGTTTCACCTTCAAGAAAACTAAAATGAATTTCCAAAAGGATTGACGATACTTCGAACTCCCTTCATCAAGAGGAAAAGTGATGACACATCTGGGTGATAGTGCAAAAGAACCAACCGGGTTCTACGAATTTTAGTCTTCGAAACACGGAAGAGATCACAGTTTCGGATGCAAGTGTATTTACGATAATCATCGATCGCCCAGAACTATATTGATCAGATACAAACCTGTATTATACCTCCTTTCTCCCGGTTGAATCCTTACCTTTCTTGAACCCACTGTTTTCCGCGCCTACCTCACAACCTCTCATAAACTTCTGACTACCAATTCCGATCAACCTTTCACACGCGCTTTTCCACAACATGCGTTACCACGTGCTGTGCGCGCAGATTTTTCAGTAATTCTCATGGGTTTGACGTTCTTGATGGACTTTCTTTGGACTTGCACCAGTTCGTGCAACAATTGGACGGAAAGCCCCACAATTTGAGCTGTGTCCCTTCTAGATATACATTTTGTACATATAGTACCGCATTTTGTTGATAAATATCAAGGTTTCATTATTCTTGGCTTGTGATTTCGTGCGTCTCTCAGTTGGGCTTCCCAG